TAACATTCCACCCTCCAACACACACACACACACACGTACACTGCACGTTTTACTCACCAGAAGCTAAGAGAGTGGGCACTGCTACTCCACTCAAGAAAAAAACAAAACAAAAAAACTGACTTTCAGATGTTCTCTTTACTGTGAGAGACTGGAAGATAACTGAACGCTTACATTAGTCACTTTTAGATGCCTCAACCACCGAGGCATTTCACGCCTTCAAAGGATGGAAGAAGAACCAGTACATATGGAGACATTGAGTCGTAATCTGCTAGGTAATCTACAGTAAAGCTGAAACGATTAATCAAATTAATCATGATTATTTGATTATTGAAATAATCCGCAACTAATTTAGTGACTGATTCACTGTTAACTGGAGTATACCAACTCGGTAAAACGGTAATTTCCTGAAAGAAAGAGGTAGAGAAAACTGAGCTTCTCAACTCATGGGAGAGCCCAGACACCCCATGGAGGAAACTCATTTCACATGCTTGTGTTTGTAATCTCATTCTTTTGGTCACTACCTGGAGCTTGTGGCCATAGAAGAGGGTTGGATCGAAGACCGGCCAGTAAATCCAGATCTGAAAGGCAACTGAATTGCTTTTCAATTCAGCTCACACAAATATGTCTGTTGTCTTCCCACTCATTTGTGAACAAGACCCCCAAGATACTTGCCCTCCTCCACTTGGGATACAATCTTGTCCGCAACCCTGAGATTGTACTGTACCCCTTTATAGCTTACAAATCGGAGGTGCTGATTTTCATCCCAGGCCGCTTCACCTTCGGCTGTGAACCGATTCAATGAAGGCAGGAGATCACGGTTTGATGAAGCCAACACAACCGCATCGTCTCCACTAAGCAGATATCCGATCCTGAGACCAACCAAACCGATCATCTTACCACTGTGGTCTCACACTCCAGTCCCCAAGGGCTGATGGCCTGCAACTTTTAGGATACTCTGATTCATCTCATCTGGATCCAATATTAGCCTGTTAGCAGAGCTCGCCTGCATGATAGTGAGGCAGTTTAACCATTCAGCTACAGTTTGTTGGATGAGGGACACATCTAAAAGTTGCAGGACTCTGGCCCTCAAGGATTCCAGTTTGAAATCACTGCCTTAACAACTTTGCATAAAATTCTTTCCATGACTTTTCCTGGACAATTCTGGTTACAACATCACAAAATGTTCACACTAAAAACACATTGACATTTGTGTTTTCAGCTCGATACATTTTAACTTTTAACTTGAACTCATGGCAGCCTATATTTGCACTCAACTTGCACTAAGAAATGTTGACTCTTATGCTTTTCACTCACAACAATTTACTGCTTCTTTATTTCTCTTGTGCTTGAAAAGTAAAGAGGCTTTTGTTCACCCCTCTCCCTCTTCCTGGAACTTGCTACAAGAAACTCTGAGGCTGACTGAATTCATCTCATTTAGTGCTTCAGCATCCAAACTAATGACATGTACTGGTTTTTACAGCTTGACATTTTCTTTTAACTGTGTCATTTTTTTAGTTGCATTTGTTGCTGCCTCTTGGCCAACACTCCCTTGAAAAAAAGTTTCTAATATAAATGGTAAAATAAAAGTAATAGGAGATATGAATAATTTCAGAGGCCACTGCTGTTGTTAACCTCAGTTTTGCTTTTAGCTGTATTTCCGGATGCAGCGACCTCCTGATTTGGGCAAAGGCATTCACACGGAACTAAGTTTACAAAGTCAAATCTTCAAAATGTCTTCCTGCAGATTCTTCCACCAGGTGTGTTAATGAGTCACATCCCTGGTAGAGTTCTCTCTCTCTCTCTGTCTGTGGATGTTCTTCCGCTCAACATCAGGGACTCACCGGCTGGCCGTGTGGCTCGTCACATGGCTCCTTTCTGCTGCAGCCCCACTAATTAGCAGTGGCTTAGCGGACATTAAGCTGTGATAGGGGTTTAATGTTTCTGAGCTAATCCCTCTCCTTTTGGCCGGGAAATCGGAGCCTCGTATGTCATGAGGTAGACTTAAACCCAGAGATTAAGTCTGGCAGTCAGAGGGTATTTACCGGAGTGCAGGATGTCTGCCGAAAGCTGTTGCCTTTGCTGTCACTTATGTTCGCTTGGAACACAGTCCAGGCTTTTCCTGCTAAGCGAAGGCTGTGCATTCAACATGTTCGGGTTTAACACCAAAGGTGTTCTGCTTATCCAGTCGTACAAGTGGCAGAGAGACAATGAAGGAGGGTTTCTACTGAGTTTTGGGGATCTGGTTCAGTGAGATCAGACTGAAAAGATGAAATATTTTCACCCAGACACTGCTTGTTGATGGGCTGTCCCGTCTTCATAAAATGAGAGTACCTAAACAAATTCAGTTTTTTAAATTAAAGTCTGAGCAAAAAGTGTTTGATACATTTTGGGGTTGATCTGCAGGTTGCCACCATAATAAGCGGATAACAACACACTTTGGAGTGGAATTTGTTACTGAGTGACAAACATTGAATGAACAAAAAAGAGCTAACATATTGAGACTAGCGCTGAATGATATGGCTGAAAAAATGTGCCAGGAAAATCTGATTTGGCATTCAGGAGCGCGCCGGGTTCAGGTGTAACCTGTCGATTTTGATCATTCTTGATTAATTTTTTGTTTTGAAAATATGTGAAATTTCTCTCATTTTCCTCCACCCCATTACTTCTTATTTTTCAGCAGTTAGGAGGCAAAACCTGAAACTCAACAAGTTGTTGCTAGGTAATGAAAGAGTGAGTGAATGAGTTGATGCCACCAAGCTTGCTTAACTGGCTTCGAGAGGGGGAGGGGCTAAAGTCTTTTCTCTGCCTATACTCCCAGAATGCAGTATGGTTTTGAATCGGAGTTCAATAAATAGTCCACATATGGAATGTTATCTTTTGATAGTATTATACATCAATATTGCAATATATGTTATGATTTATTGTCTTGCTGTAGTTGAGACATGGCTGAATTTGGTTCAGGCTGCAGGAGAGCAAGACTTCAAATATTTTGTTGTTCTTACGTCGTCTTGATTTTTAAAGAAAAATCTCAATCAGCTAAAATTGGAATAGCCAAAGAAAACTATACATATCATATAGAATTATAGCATGTATTATTCAACTTGGCAATGCACCATCTTTCCAGAAACAATGAAGACTTTTTCTAACAGAAGCTTCCCTTGCCCCATCAACATCTGTCTCTCTCCATATAATGATTATAATTAAAAGACGATAGGCTGTATGAAATATTAATGACGACCATGAGGCATACAGGCTTTTCTTAACGTCACTGTCTTGCTGTTTTAGTTTGATTCGTGTGTGACAGTGTCGTCAGGAGTTCTGAACAGCCTGGAATGGAACTCTGATTTCAGATCACTATCCGCCCTTTGCTCAGAACAGTTCCATGTTTTTGCTGCTGGCACTGATCCAATTTATTTTTCAAGCAGTGGGTTGTTTTCCAGTTGTTACTCAGTATGAAAATGTCAGACAAAATATTCCCACTTTGACCCATACCCATATGGAGGTCCACAATGCACCGACCCACTCATGTCTTCCTTTTGCCTACTATCGCTCTCCTTCCTACTTTCTGTCTCCCTTTATTTCTCTCTGTCTGCCTCTGATCCTTCACAGTATTTCCATAATGTCAATTCTCTCTTCTGAGTCCCCACCACCTGTCTGTGCCTCACCTTCCCGCTGTCTCCTTCCATATGGTACGATAAAGGCAGCGCAGTGTGTCGTCTGGCTGGTCGAGGGCTGTCAGAGCAGAGGAGACGCTCTCAGTCTCTCTGCAGCCGTGCTGGCTGACAGAACGGAGCGTGTGAAGTCTGCAAAGTCGGCAGAAGCCATCCTTCATTGTTCTTTGTTACCCTACACCTGAACCCAGCGCGCTCCTGAATGCCAAATCAGCTCTTGTCCCGGCAGAGCACTTAGAGGGCTGTTACCTGCTGGAGAACCTCAGAGCTTTTTGATCTATGCGCCGGTGGTATTTAGCTAAGTGCTGTTGGCTAAAGGTTTATATGAGCCCTGCAAGCTAGTTAGAGGTTATTAAAGCCACATAATGATAAAACTCAACAGACAAGTCATGGATCAGAAAAAGACTTTACTTAACACAACTTTGCTCCCGCACAGAAGAAACTAATTAGGTAATTAGGTCCTGAAATATAATGGAATAAACAAATGAGTAAAGATGCAAGTCTGACTAGCTGTATTTCCATAAGACATGAGCGCAAATCTTTGTGTTTATTCAGCTAATGTAGAAAACAACACCAGAATTTTGCAATTGCGGTGTTTCCATAAAACACCGCAAAGTTCAAATCACATGTGAATAAGCTTGTTCACATAAATCATTAAAAATTATGTCAGCGACTGATGGATGAGATATAATTCATAATTCAGCCATGATGCTGGCGATCATCATCTATCAGCCAATCAGAGGAGACATCAGCATCTCATTCAGGCGTTGGAGCGACAAGCCTCATATCCTTGGGAGTGGATAACGACGCACGTTTTAAAAAAAATGGTAGTCAGTGATTAAACAGAAGAGCTATAGATTAAACACCTTGGAATGGCGCACGACTTTTTATGAAGTCTTAGGAGCGGTAAAAACGTACAACTTCAATGTATTTTAAAAACTAATTTTGAGCATTTGGAGTTGATTCAGAATTCCCAGCACTATATAGATCCCAGGAATTTTTTTAGAGAAACATTATTTTTCCTTCACCTCTGATAATACGAACAGCTATTTAAACAGAACTGACGCATTACAAATTGTTTTGAAAGAGCTCAAATAATGGAACATTTTCAGTTTGTCACCATTATTTAGGTTCTGCATGGATAAGAAATACATTCACAATTGTGGACCTGAATTATCAAAACATTTTTAACAGTTATTTCACATCAAAGAAAAAAAAGAAAGTTCTTCTCAAACCCAAAATTTTTGACATTTGTGACCATAAAAAACATCTACTCTACACCAGCTATTACTACAAATGAATTAAACAGAAGAGTAGAAAATAATTCACCATTTCCATTACCTGCATCTTCTGGATCTTCATCATAGTCTTCATCATCACCAGATGACAGAGAATCTGAAAAATCAGAAACACGGGAGATTCAGATTGTTGAGATCACATAAAATTTTGACTCAACAATTCCTATGTGCTTTGGACCGTTAACTAAACACACAAGCAATTCACCGATCACGTCTACAACGTGTGCAGCCCAGAAATGTGTGTGAATTAGAGATTAAATGGTGTGTGGCCATAAACACTTACGATGGTGCAAATGTTCCTAAATCCAGATCCAGAGATGCATGAATGCACGCTGGAGCTGGCTGCTCATTGAGAAAGTCCTGAATGAGGCTACAGTTCTGCTGATATTACAACCTAAACATTTCCGTAGACGATAGGAATCCGGGGGTCGTTAGTGCTGCAGTCCCACGCTCCTATGAGTGGATCCACACACGCACTTCTCTAGCCATGATTGCAACATACACTTTCTGCTACAAACTCTCTCTGTCAGACTAATTATTTTGCAGCCATAGATTCTGTTTAGATATGCTGTGCCTTTTTTTTTTTTTTTTTACATTATTTTATTATTTTTTGCCAACAGCGTGGTAACTATTTTCCATGTGACCTTGGATTTTTCCAGTTCAGATCCTCAGATCTGGTTAATGAGAGCCAGCTGTTACCTCGATGGCCCCAGTGAGCTAAAACTGCTCCTCAAACTCCTGACTAGCAGGTTTTTGTTTCTATTATTTGACACCTGAGCCCAACGACTGCACTGTTGTGGTACGACTCAGCAGACAGAAGGCGTCCTAAAAATACTCACTGAGGAGTAGCAGCAAAAAGATGGGGATTGTAGCTGAAAACAAGTTAATCATATTCCAAATGGCATGATGTATGTGAGCAGACATGAAAAGGTTTAGAAAAGGAAACATGGTGAATAATCTGTGGGATGTGTGTGTGCTTGATAGACATAGCAAGCGTTGGGTATGTTCAGGGAAAAAAAACAACCCACACCCCCCAAAAAAACTAGCACACTCATCTGAAAAACCTTTCAATCGGCAGTTTTCAGACTTCTGTCTACAAAAACATGTAACATGGTCAAATGTTTTGTTTTTTCAACTGCTTCAATGTGTCTGGTGGCAAATTTTATAAATCATAAACATCAGAACCCTTTCCACAAAAACTGCCCTGGTCACTTGACGACTTTTGTCAAAGACACACCAGCCGAGGTAGTCACACACACATCATCAGTGAATAATGTGAAAGACTTTCGATTGACAGATGGAGTCTCAGGACATAACAAGGTTTTAATAAGTTACAAACGCCTAAAATTGCTCAGATTTCAAGAAACTATGTCATTCCAATAGTTTGAAGTCCTTTGAAAGCGATGCCAAAGAAAGTGCTGAAGTTTGGCAGACCTCTTGCCCAACAAAACTGCTAGTCAGTTTCGGTGCTAATCAGCTAGTCACCGTCTAGGAAAAACATGGAAAGTACCGGTAACAGTGTGAAAACTAACTATCACTACAATCATTGATAATTAGAGATTTTTGGATGGGTATTCTGTTTTTTCTAATTTTCTTACATGAATTGAAAATAATGTAATATCACCATTAGCCTGAGCAGTAGCTCAAGTTAATATTCGCATACATTTCAGAGCAACACAGTTTATTATCTTTTCTCGTAGGCAGAAGGTAGCAGTGCACTCCTAGCTCTTAGCTATCTGCACCTAAGTCAAATATTTGAGGACCAACACAATAGTGTGCTGTGGGTTTTCAGATAAACCAAAGGCGCGGTGCTTAAAGTAGAGGGAGGAGAACCACCTGCACTGCAGGGGAAAACAGGATATTGTCACCTCATGCTGTTCAATGTCAAACTTCTAAGGTGATTTGTGCAGGCACAGGAGAGTTAAAATTATTCACTTCATTAACGCCTGCAATGAAATTGCATCAACTCTGATCTTAATCCCTGAAGCATGCTGAGCTGAGCTGGAAGCAAATGTGTTTATTTTATTTTACTTGAGAAATTAAGTTTAGAAAAAAAATATTGTGCCAGACACTCCAGCTCAGACATCAGAGATGACGACAATGGTGCACATTCAGTCTGGAACAGATACTTTGGACATAAAGGAGAAGTTATCCACCTCCGATTAGCACAGGAATTGATTGCATCCTCTCCAGCTTGTAACCAAACACACTTGGGTGAGTACGTGTGTGTGTGTATGTGTGTGAGAGCTTGTCAGGAGGTAGGAGGGCAAAGTGAGAGAGAGGAAACTCACGCATTTATTGCCACCCCATCTGTTTTCAATGCTGAAATGTTTCAAGCTAATTGCTTTCTAATTAGTTGTCAATAACAGACTCAGCTGGTGTCCCGGGTTTTACGGTGAAACGCCTCCTGACTTTTAAGCTGCTGCTCACTAGCCTCCTGACCCCCACCGCCACCGCCCACGGCCCCACCCTCACTTCCTCTTGGTCTTGAGCTCTTATTAGCGCTCTGCTTTCACCACACAGCCATGATAATGAAATTCACCTTTGACTGTGTGGCTGGGAGTCTGTGCGAGGTGTGTACACAGAACATGCTCTAGTGTATCTCCGTACAGAACATGCTCTAGTGTATCTCCGTAGAGTTCTAAACCTTGGCTGCTAGCATGGAGCATTACTGAATGTTCGATAGGAAGTCACTACATTTTGCTGGACAAACAGAAAAGCAGAATAGATGTGAGATTACAGAACACCCTCCTATATCTCACCTGTCACCCTGATGGTGTAGTTGTTGAGCAGGGTGTTGGTATGGGCGAGTCGGCACGTGTAGACGCCCGAGTCTTCGTACGACACGTTGATGATGCGTATCATCCGTTGGTCGACTCGCGTTCGGTTGCCTGACGAGAGTCCGATGCCGTCTTTGAACCAGACGATGGGCTCTGAGGAGTCCTCCCGATTGCACGACATCTCCAGGGTGTCCCCCATGCCCAAGATAAAGTCCTCCAGGAAAGCAGTTTCACTGGACACAGAGTCTGCAAACAAATATGAACAAAGAAGAGTAGTTTAAATTACAAAGTCGGTTAATCTGGATTAAAAACATCATGGAATATACCAACTAGCATTGGTTGTTAATCGTTGTGAAGGGGCACTAAAGTTTTAATAAGACATGGTGGTATTTCCTTTCATACATGAAAGTTTTTGTGCGCATTTAGAAATGGTTGATGGAAACAGCAAAATTTGAAATAACTCCCTTAAGGTTGCTTTCGGCTCTTCTGAAAAAGACTTAATGAGCTGAAGGGGAGGTGGAAACACATTTCACGAATAAGTTCTGATGTAGCGAACTTCCTATATACTGGTGGGTCAAAGCCTTACCACAGGCACAAAACTGAAAATATCAAACCTTTCAGCACAGAGTGGGATAATCTCCAAAGTACTAGTGTGGTCCATGCTAGTTTCCAAACTTTACTTTCTGTTCAGTAACATCAACATCTGATGACATTATGCTTTGCGTAGCCCAGTTGATTCACTCTAAACCAACACATAAATATATTTAATATTTTCACAATAAACTCCCATGTTGCTGAAATGTGCTACACAAATAGACTTGATTGATTTTTGGGGTGTTGAATCTTAAATATGGCTTTCAGACAGAAGGCATATTCAAATGCAAAGTACCTGATTAACTCAGATCCTGTGACCCCTTGCTGAACTTCCATGTGTGATTATGTCAGCCACACCCACAGTTTGCTTCACCAATGCAGCCTCAGTTGGGTTTTCCACTTGTTAACAATCATAGTCTATTTTCTGGAGCACGGCTAGTAGAACTGCATTACAGACCTGACAAATTCTTCTGTTGATCTAATAAATCTGGGGTTTCCCTCCGACAAAGTGCATTTCACCCCATACAATGATGTTTCACGCTCTGTGTTTGTGGATGTGACCTTGTAAAAAGGCCTAAAAGAAATATGGTGAGTACTGCGCCTACGTCTTCTGTTCCCCGGCTCTCAAACAGAAATATGCTGGAGTCTGGACTGGAAAGTTGCAGCTTAAGAAAACCCTGAAATCATCCACAGCAGTTTGACAGCCTGCACATCTCCAGGTGAGTTCAACAGACACAAACACAATAGAAACGTAAACCACACACATCTATTTAGCATACGTTTCAGACATTGCCAAATGTTCACTCCTAAATTATTCGCATCGGTAAGAAGAACGGAACTATCCCGACTCCCACATTCCTGTTTATTTTTATACTAATTTACGTAAATCCCTCACTTTCCTTTTTTCCAAACCCTGTTAAAGAAAGAAATGTAGTCATGGTGTTTGGCTACAAACAGGAAAAGCTGCTGTCAGGCCATCAGGCGGAGAGCACAGACAGATGTGAACTGTGAGAAAAGCCTCATTTATTCCTGCTTGGAAAAACCAACATGTTTACCGACTTCGCTGAGGATGCCGACCGGAGCAGAGAATGGAGGAAACGGAGCCGCTTGGATGCGACACTGAGGTGCTTTGTTCATTCATCAGAGGTGTGTCCTCTTATTCATATTTCAAATACATAATACGGCGACCATAAATAATCGACGTGGCCTAATGGCAACAATTGAGCTGAATGTGCAGTCATATACAAAGGCTACTTGTAAGGCAGCTAATGCATGCATACTTCCACATGTCTTCGACAGCTTCTGTAACAAATTACTCAACATGCACCTGTTTACACACAAAACACAGAACCCATCAAGCCCCCTCAATGCCCAAAGCCTCATCACCCCCTGCCAGTACTGAATGTGTTAAGTGTGTGATTTATGTTGGCAAAGACACTCACTCCCAAAAATGGCAGAAAGGACAAAAACATCCTTGAGCAGCCACTGCCAAAAGACAGCAAATGTTAAACAAGCCACTGAAAGTATTACACAGTCATAAAGTGGAAGAAAGCAAATTTAAAATTTACTTGGTTATTTTTATAAAGATATATCTGAAAAGTGTAGCATGAATAGCTAAACTACAAACTCCTTCAACAAATACGTATAACTCTTTATGTTAATAGTTCAAACACCAAATTTCTCTTCATAATAGTGGTGAGACATGATTAAAATGTTTTATCATTTTAGCTAATGGGCCTCTAATGAATTACTTGCAATTTGGAGACAAAATAAGCAACATTTTTATATTAAGAACCATATATGTCTCCTAAATTATTGAGTAAAATAGACATGTAAGCTCAAAAAGACATTTAATTGTTCTAATCTGTTATTTATCCAATTCGACCATCAGAAAGTAAAGTTTTCTCATTTCATTTTTCAGTGAACTGATCATTCGTGGGACTACTTTAAAGATGTGGAACTATGGATGATGTCTGTGCTGATGCTACATTGATGCTATTTCAGGCTAGAATAGCTTTGCCGATAAGCTTCCAATCTGATTGTTTTTTTTTTTAAGCTACAAATAACCTCCACTGGGCCAAGAGAAGCAGAAGCATCGCTATCATTTGCGGGTGTTACAGATTTACTGGCGTACCAGAAACACAATATAGAGGTTCCAGCTCTGTATTTTGAAAATTTTGAAAGCAATTAATTGCATTCAAAATTTTAATGGGCAAAAACAGATGGAATTAGTTCATCAAAATTAGCAAGGTAAAGTGTTGGCTCTACTTAATATTCATTAATACACTCAGTTGAACACCTATAGTCTTCTTTATTTCGACTCTTGGGGGTACAGGAAAATAAATGTCACTCATGGATCAGAAAAAAAAATCTGTAATTGTGAATTTTTCACTAATAGCTTGGAGCTAGACTCTACAGAAAAATCTGCAAGTGTGTGAATAATGAACTTCAAACAGACGAGGTTACACTGGACTGGAATGCTGTTCAGCAATGAAGTAAATGGTGGAGGAGAGTACATAAGCACACAATACTTTTATGAAGAGTTTTGTTCTCTTCCACTTCATAATTACAGGTCCCTTTGAAATGTATGTCATGTAAAGTCCCAACAAATCCCAAGTAGGAGGTTGCTTGGAAACAGATAAAATGTGAAAAAGTTCAAGAGGCACGAATACTTTGGCGTTGTACACATTAAGTCATAGAGGAATTAACCGAGTTAATATTTACCCAATCTCAAAATGTTTCTTCAAAGCATTTGAAGGATTAAAAAGACTTCTTTCTCTTTAGCCAGGCTAGAGATGCTAGGTCAATAATAAGCCAATGGGGCTGTTCAGTGGCCTCCGGCTTCGACAAGCAGATTTACAACACGTCTTTTTGTTAAAACAAAAAGCTCCATTCAGGAGGAGAAAAACTAGTGAGGCAACAGCGCACAGCACATAAATTCAAGCCCAGCATGAATGACTCTCTACCTTTGTGTACGTCTGAGAAAGAAACCTGAGAAAAAAGGGCTGCAGAGTATTTTCAAGTGTTAAACGTGGAGAAATGGGCTCTGTGAGGTAGATATAAAAATCTGGTAGTGGACTTACCAGAGTGAAACCCCTCTGAGTAGAAAGCAGCATTCTTTGTATTCATCATGCATTTTCTTTATAAAATATATTATCCTGGAAAAGACTTTAGCAGCAAAACATGTCCAATTAGCATTTGTTAGCAGCGAGACGGGACGCCGAAATGCATTTGTGCATCTTTTGCTTTGATCTTGGGGAAAACATATAAGAAGAATATTCATTCAAAACTTTGATGTTTACACACTGCCAGGAGCTGAACAAATGCAGCAAAACCCATTAGCAACACACTCTAAAGAACCCCAATTTCTCAGATGTCGCACAGAAACGCGTCTTGGCTGAAATGTCCGTCGTCCAAATTTGGAAATGCAGATTTTTAAAGCTGCTGTGCATTAAACGTGTCTTTGGTTTCGACGGGCTTGCACATTTTGTGAACACTCGACTGCTCCATGGCAGATTGACAAATCGCGGAGCGTTGGTCAAGACAGGCTCATGGTGAAAATCCAGGTAGCGTGAGGCCGCAGGGTTGAAACCAAGCCGCTGCTCTTTTGTTGTCTTGTATGTTTAGGTTGGTGGTTCACTCTTTCCTCTTTAGCAAATACGCCGGGCGAAATATGCATAAAGGGACTCCTAATTAACATCCGGGCACTTTCAGTCCCTATAGAAATGAGAAAAGATAAATAAATAAATAAAAAAACTGCAGCTGTGTGGCCAGCTGTGTTTGTACTGAGGAGATCCAAGGTGGGAATTTACGGAAGAGAATACATTAGAATTGGACACTCTTCTGTGGCTAAATGCAATACAATACACTTCAAAAGTTTAAAATTAAACTATACATCTAAAATTGATGGCTCAGATTTTCTGAAGTAAGGTCTTTCTCAGGGAAGAACCCATCCACTGTCTTCACTTTGGATACCAAAACAAATATCTGAGGTTTAGGACATATATGTACTTGATTACAAATTTATTTGCTAACTCTGCACCAGTACAGCTCACTGAAACACAACAACAGATTCATTAGCTTGGTCAAACTTGGAAAAGCAACTTTAATTTGTTCAGTCAGTGTAATTAGAATTAGAACAACCAATAGAAACTACACAAAAGAAACTGAAGCTGACAAAAAATAAACTGCAACAAACCTTCTTTAAAATGGTTCAGAAAATGCAATTTGGAATTCTCAATATAATGTAAAATAATATAATAAAGCATGACGTGCAGAGCACAAGGCATAGAATTACACCCTTACGGATTGTGCACATTGTCACAATATCTAATCTAGAATCTTTTTTCCAATATCAGGACTGATACAGATATTAATATCAGGCTGATGAATCTTCTGTCTTGTATGTTTAGGTTGGTGGTTCACTCTTTCCTCTTTAATTTTCTACAAACTCACCAGAAAATTATGAAATTGTCTATTAAAGACTTTCAAAACCTTACTTTAAAAAAATAAATAAAAATAATTGGAACTATCCCTTTCAAGTCTCTCTGAGCCCAAAGTTCTCTGGACAAACACTGGATCTGCTACTTATTCCTGTACTGAAAACGCAGCTTCAGCCCATTAGCAGTGTTCAGACTGTAAATGGCCGATGC